TTTTCGAGAAGTAACTAGAAGTTTGTGCCTTTGGACCAACTTCTCTCCAGCCTCCCCCGCCCACCCACCCACAGCCCGTGGCAGCCATCCTACTGCCATGTCTGTAAGTGCAACTTTTTTAGGTTCCTTGTGTAAGCGATGTCATATAATATTTGCCTTTCTCTGCTTCTCTCACTTGGCATCAGTGCCCTCCAGGCTCATCCGTGTTGTCTCAGGTGGCAGGATTTCCTTCTTGCTCGTGGCTGAGTTATATTTCTTTGTAGGTGTGTGTACCGCATCGTCTTTATCCACTCATCTGTTGATGGGGAGACTTAGACGGTTTCCACGTCTGAGCTATTGTGAGCAGTGCTGCAGTGGACAGGGCAGTGCAGATAGCCACTCAAGATCCTGTTTTCACTCCTTGGAATATATGCCCAGAAGAGGAAATGCTGGATCATATGGTAGTTCTGTTTTTAACATTGAGGGGAAGTTCCCTCTTTTTAAAAAGATTTTATTGACTTTAGGCCAGAGGGGAAGGGAGGGAGAAAGATAGGAAGAGAAACATCAATGTGAGGTTGCCTCTTGAGCTCCCCTTGCTGGAGACCTAGCCTGCAACCCAGGCATGTGCCCTAGACTAGGAATCAAACCAGTGACCCTTTGGTTTGCAGGCCAGTGTTCAATCCACTGAGTCACACCAGCCAGGGCCCTATTTTTTTTCTATACTTAATGTACCTATTTACATTCCCACCAGCAGTATACAAGGGTTTTCTTTCCTCCACATCCTCACCAACACTTATCTCTTGTCTTTTTGATAACAGCCATTCTGAGCAGTAGTATCTCGTGATCCTTGTTTTCACTTGCCTGATTAGTGATGTTGAGCATCTTTATATGTACCCGTTGGCCATTTTTATGTCTTCTTTGGGGAAAAGTCTATTCAGTTCTTCTGCCCATGATTGTTTTTTTGTGCTGTTGAAGTTTACTTCCTCGTATATTTTGGATGTCAATGCCTTGTCAGATATGCTTGTAAATATTTTCTCCCATTTCATAGGTTGTCCTTTTGTTGTTCCTTTTGTTGTGCAGAAGCTTTTTGGTTTGATGTTGTCCCACTTATTTTTGCTTCGGTTGCTTGTACTATTGGTGTTATATCAAAAAATTGTTTTCAAGGCCAATGTCAAGAAACCTTCCCCCTATGTTTTCTTCCAGTTTCATGGGGTCAAGGCTTATGTTTGTCTTTAATCTGAGTTCATTTTTGTGGTGCAAGTAAGGTGTCTAATTTTATTCTGAATGTGACTATCCGGTCTTCCCACCACCATGTGCTTAAGGGACTATCTGTACTCCACTGGGTGTTCTGGGCTTTCAATTCTGTTCCATTGATCTGTATGTCTGTTTTTATTCTGGTACCATACTGTCTTTATTATTATAGTTTTGTAGAATAGTTTGAAATCAGGCACTGTGATTACTCCAGCATTTTGCGCTCAGAATTGCTTTGGCCATTTGGATTTTTTTGTGGTTTTATATGAATTTTAGAATTTTTTTCTACTTCTATAAAAAATGTCACTGGAATTTTTATTGGGATTGCATTGACTTTATAATGACTTTGCATAGTACGAACCTTTTAACAATATTCTCGTGATCCATGAATATGGGCTGTCTTTCCATTTATTTGTTTCTTCCTTTTTTTTTTATACAAGTCTTATAGTTTCAGGTAGACAGATCTCCTTGGTTAAAGCTATTCCCAAGAATTTCATTGTTTCTTTTTAAACATATTGAATTTACTGGGATGACATTGGTTAATAAAATCACATAGGTTTCAGGCGTACAGCACTGTGATACACCATCTGTATATTGTAGTGTGTGTTCACCACCCACGGTCTCCACCCGTCACCACTTATCCCCCTTCGCTCTGGTCATCGCCAAGCTGTTGTCTGGGTCTCAGAGGTTTTTCTTCCTTAATCCCTTTACCTATTTCACCCAGCTCCCCAGACCCCCTTCTAGAACCTTTTTTTAATGGCATGGTGGATTTGATTTTCTTTTTCAGATATTTCATTATTAGCGTATAGAGAGGAACTGATTTTTCTATGTTGATTTTATATCCTACAACTTAACTGAACTTATTGATTAGTTCTAACAGTTTTGGGGTGGAGTATTTAGATTTTTCTCTTTATAAGAACATATCACCTGCAAATAAAGACAATTTTACTTCATCATTTCCAATTTAGATGCTTCTTTTTTTTTTTTGCCTGATGGCTCTGGCCAGGACTCCCAGAACTGCGCTGAGTGGGAATGATGAGAGTGGACGCCCTTGTCTTGTTCCTGATCTGAGAGGATACACATTTAGCCTGTAATTGTTGACGATGATGTTGGCTGTCGGCTTGTCACATATGGTCTTCACTATGTTGAGGTTCATTCTTTCTAGACCCAATCTTCTGAGAATTTTTATCATGAAGGGAAAAATGAGAACTTGTCATTGCTGGTGGGGGGAGGCACAACAAGGGACATCTAATGCAGCCATGTCCCTGATGTCACTTCTGAGGGTATTGTCTTTAGAGAGGATACCGGGGTAGCTGGGAAGAAATGGATGTCCAGTAGCCCTTCGTCAGTTTTCAGATTTCTGCTTTCTTTGCTCTGTCGTTTTTTCCCAAAATGCGATTCCTTTCCGTTTTGAAGGCTAGTGATTCAAGATCAAAGTGTTGGCAGGTTTAATTTCTGCTCTGGGCTATACGGAAGGGTGTCTTCCAGGCCTCTGTCCTTGCTTTGCAGATGGCTGTCCTCCTGCTTCCTCCTCACGTGGTCTTTCCACTATGTACCCAACACCCCCCATATTCTTAACGCTCTTCCCCGGTTAGCTGGCAAACACTGGTATTTCACATCCTGGCATTAGTTTCAAATCATGAATTCCTTTAGCTACTGAAATCAGTCAACAAAAAGTGGATGAAATCGTAGCCAGCTGATGAGGCTTTCACATGTGCAGTAAGGGTTTGAGTTCAAAGACCAAGATGCTTAAGGATTACGTGTTGGCTCCTGGGAGCGCCCATGTGCTGGAGATCTCGGGGACCTCTGCCACGTGTTGGCCGGCCCCAGCAGCCACATCTACTGTCTAGCCCTTCCCCTGGGATGCAGCTGCTTGGGGCTGAAAGCCTTTCAAAGAGTGGTAATACAATGTTGTGAACACTCACCACGTGGCAAGCCATCTTTCTCTCTGTGCTTCAAACACACGAGCAGGCCCATTTCCTTCAGTTTAGGTTCTTTTCATGGCCCTTGTTCAGTGCGGGGCTGGCCCTGCTGAAACCTGGTCTGGGCCACTCTTCTTCACGGGGTTGTGAGCAGTTCCTGCCGTCCCCTGATGGGGACTGACGCTCAGCACAGACCCCACTCAGCAGGTTCTGTAAAAAGGTTCGCCCAGTGAACAGGGGAGCGAATTAAGACCGAACGACCCCTCTGCTTCTCCCTCCTCCCGACACCCCGCGAGAGCACAAGGCAAACTAGCTGGGGAAAGGTGGGGTGTGGCAAAGGTAATCTTTCTCTGTGAAAAAGGGTAAATATGAGCTATGGTCCTTTCAGTAATAACCACACAGAAACCCAGAAATACCACAGTGAAAATGTAATTAGGCTTCCAAAGAGCAAAAGTCCACATGCACATAAATAGCCACACACTTCAGTTAGGAACCTTGGTGCTGTTTATTTCTATTACGTCTAGACACAAACTTGCAGAGATTTACAAAACTAACCATACAAATTTCAAACACTTTTACAAAGATGAAAATATAAAGAAATGAAGACTATGGAATTTTGTTTGCAAACAATTTTACCTTGAATCCTGTCCTGTGTGAAAACCAAACAATTCATCGGAAGTCGTATTTGATACAACTATATGTTAGAATTTCAGTAGACAAAACTGATGAAGTCCCAGCATCAATCATCTAGAACAAATAACTATTATAATGAAAATTAATGTGATCTTCAGTTACTCCCCTAAATACTGCTGTTATAATTTTCTCTATATTAAAACTTTTATTTAGGGAATGGATCTGACATTACATTGCTGTTTCAGGAAAGAGAATAAACCCTGATAAAATCTTTAATCCCAACTTTTAAAGCTTAGCTTTTCTGCTAATCGCAAACTATTTTTGGTTCATTGCTAACTCTTAAAATGTCTTAAGACAATCAATGTGATTTAAAGTCATCTTTTGTCTGAACAGTGCTCATGTTTTTTAATTGTATACTGAGGCAGTAAGGCAAGAAAGTTTTTCCTTTTCCAAATCAGATAAAGTGAGAGTATCTATCCATTTAAAAATTCAGAACTAGAGTCACGGCAAATAATCCTACCAACTGGAAATTAAGGCTGCTGTGATTTTCCTTTATGTTTGGACCATAATTAAGAGCAGCAGTGTTACTGCTTACACATGTTGAATTTACAAGCCTTTGAGCTTAACTCACAGGACGTAAACATTGTCGATGTTGTCTATGCTTCAATTTCAGTTAATAAAACGCTGGTTTTTCACAATCACCTTTGATAAGCTTGAAGACGAAGTGAGAAAACACCACGTGAAGCTGAAACTGGATGATTCTGATACAAGAAAATAACGCCTGAGGGGTCAGGAGATGTTGCGTGAGCATGAGCACACTGTGCCTGCAGCCGCCCAGAGGTGCATGGGCCACACCCAGGCACACAGCACCAGTTTGGGCGCCGTCCCTGCTGCCTGGAGCCTGGCCCACAGGGCCACAGACAGGATGCTGGCTCTGCAATAACCGCCAGGCACCGGTCAGAGTGCATCCTGCCTGCTGCAGCATTGTTCTGGAAAGCAAGCCCTTCCAGATATGTGACTGAGAAACATCACATAACCTAGCCTGCAAACGATTTCCTGAAGTCCTTTCCTAGCATGAATGTGGACCTGGTTTTGCAGTTACATCTATCATTAGCACCATATTTAAGCCTGAACTGAGGCAAAAAAAAACTTTCAGGTAGCTCTGGGTAGAAAGTACAGTAGTGATTTTGTGGGGGGTGGGTTTTCTTTTGGTGGGGGGGGGGTCTTTATACTTCAATTTTATCTGTTCATTTTGAATGTGGTATCTACAGCAGTATACTTTCTGATCATTAAAATAAGTTGTTTGGAGAACCATTTGATCCCAAGTATATATATGTAAGTATATGTCAAAATTGATAAATTATAAAGCCAGGTGAGTCAGCTTTTAACAGGAGAAATGTAGTAAATAGGAACTCTCATTTTTGAAATTCAAACTATGTCATTATTAAGTTGACGAAGTCAAAAATTTCAGTGAAATCCATGGAGCCAATATCACAAGGCTGGCTCATCAAACGGCAACGCCCAGGAATTGCATCTGTCAGGGCATGGTCAAGGTTACTGCAGGTGCTACCCAGCCAACATCCGGCTCCTACAGGAAATTGAGCAGTCGGTCCCATTTTTGCTCCGTTTAGTGAAAGGTGAGTTGCTTCTCTCTTTTCCAACTGTTTTTTTATTTTTATTCAGATAAACCTCTCTGGAACTTATCATTTATACAAAGGAATAGAGAGGGAAAGACCCTAAAGCTTGGTTAAAGTTTTGAAGGAGTACATATGTTTCAGCAAATGAAAACAGAAATTAGTTAAGGGATAACTGGACAAAATGAGATAATTCTCTAATTTAGTTTCCATGAACAGGTAAGGTAAGATAATGTGTAAAGAACTACTTTTCAAATTGTTCCCCCCTTAACATCACTTTACACAAGAGACATAAGAAATCTTAGACACAGCTGGTTTTGAGGGCAACAAAACTCATCTTTCAGAGGACAGTGACTCCCTCCCTGGTGCCAGCATGCCTGCCGCCCGTGGAGTGACCACACGGGGGCGCAGCCTCCAGCTGGAGCTGGCCTCACGCTCAGGCACGGGTCTGGGGCTCAGCGTGCCGAGGTTCTTTGGAAATACTCCTCAGTCGTATTTCCCTCTGACTCTGGGTAACTTTCCCTCATAGAAACATTTTGGGGAAACGGTTTAAGGTTTGTACTTCCCCTAAAAATTCAGCGGAATCCTGCTGACCGGTCTCCAGAAAACTCGAGTGAACAGTCTCTCCTCCTCTGTGAGCTGGCTGGTGCGCAGGGCCACTGCGTGGGGGGTCCATGCAGAGTCCAGTGCAGCTGCGTCTGCAAGGGTGCTGGTCAGTAGATAAGCTCCCTCAGCTCCTGGTCGGTCAGTTCGTTCACCTCCATGATCTTCTCCAAGTGTTCCAGGTACCGGCCCTGGTCCTGCAGGAAGTGAGGGACCCGCATGTTCTCTGTGACGGCCAGTTCTTTCAAGCGGTCCACGTCTTCGTACGAGACCTAAGGAAAGGGAGCTGGTTCAGTTTAAGTGTAACCGCCAGTTACATCTGCAAGAGCAATTTCTTCCCTGGGTAGTGAGTGAAACCTTAAGTACATGGGCTGTTTTTCAAATTACTTTAATACCCGCAAAACAGCAAAAATAAGTGACTTCGTTCTCTTTACTGTGTTAAATAAGAATGTACTCATCTGCCCCTTCATACTATGACCATGTTTTTAAAAAAGATCAAAAATCAATACTTGATTTCTTGCACCTACTCAGTTTGTCTAAAAATGATAAAACTACACTTAATATACATGTTAGAGACTCTAAACCTTAGCAAATCTCCTGACTAAACCATATAAAATAGTCAAGAAAATAGCTCAAATATAAATACCATATTAATAAATTAGCAAAATCAGGCCAATTATGTATTGGGTTCCTACTTCTATTTAATTAAACAATATAATGATTTGTGTTAAATTCTCTTTTATTTTGAATTTTTGTAAGAATTTAAAAACATTGCTGTCTCCTTCATTTGCTGTACAAGAACTCAACTTTGACAAGTATTTATATGACATTTAGAGGTGAAACTTTTTAAGTTCTATAAATTATCTTTGCAACTTTAAATTCTGAAGTATGGCTAATTTTCTTTAAGAGTTTATTTATTTACTTTTAGAGATTGGGGAAGGGAGGTAGGAAGGGTAGGGAGAAAGAGAGAGAGAGAAACATCAGTGTGTGAGAGATACATTGACAGGTTGCCTTGCTCCCAGCTGGAGACATGGCCTGCAACCCAGGCATGTACCCTGACCGGGAACCGAACCCGTGACCTTTCCATTTGCAGGCTGGGGTTCAATCCACTGAGCCACACCAGCCAGGGCATGGCTGACTTTAAACACTATTGCTTTCTGATCAATATTCTTTCTGGTTCAGTAGAAAGAGCTTAAGAAATCATGCTTACATTATAATATCTGCATTTTATTAAGTGTTTCAATTATTGTTAAAATTATTTATTTTATTGAGTATTTACACAACTAAGTATAATGAAAATAGGTCTGTTGTTGCCAGTGGCATGGTTAACGCTTCTTCAACCACCCTTCGTCTGCCACGGGAGAGAAGGAGCGGACGGAGCGATGCTCTGTCAGAGCGGGGAGACGCACGTGTGGCGTGGGGACGAAGGGGTGAAAGGACCCTGGTGACGTGAGTGCAGACGCCCTCATAATTCAGAACACATACCGTCTGCTCCCTGAAAAGGTCTCGAAGCATCAGCGCCCTGTAACAATGAGCCCGCCTAGTGCCCACATCTCGTTTTCTAAATACCATTTCCAACTAAAAGGAATCGAGGCTTCTGAGAAGAACGATATAATTCCAGATTTGGGTACAAAAAGTATAAGATGAGCTCAGAACATTTTATACTTTTTCTTAAACACAGGGGAAGCCACTGGAAGAGCTCCACAGAACAGAGGAAGTACATAGTAATAGCACGAAACAAGGGCAGGGAAATGTAACAGAATTCAACGACCTCCATTTCGTCACCACCAGTGCAGGAAATGATCTGTGCAAAGATCGTCGGTGGATATTAAAACCACTCCTTGGAAGGTTAAGAAACATTCACGGACATCACCCCACAGGTCACTTATTAATTCAATCGGGGAGAAAGTGTCTTTACACTGGAGCAACCTGGCAGTGGTACCTAGATCACCCAGATGGGCCGACTCAGCATCAGCAGTAACGAGACGCAGTGACATTGTGTGCTTTCTACTGTGAACCACTGGGGAACGCACAGCTCACTGATGTCAGGTTCTCGGCAAAATGTTTAACCTGACTCTAACTACAAGGAAGCGATCTGATATCCAGATTGTAGAAGTTTTCAAGAAAACTGTCCTGGATTCTTAAAAATGTCATGAAAAACAAAAAGACTAGGGCAAGGGGGCTATTATAGACTCAAAGCAATTAAACACCCGAAGACCTGAAACAATAAAATACATAGAAGAAAATAAAGGCATTAACTTATGGACCGTGCTCTCTGGGGGTTTTCTGTGAACTTACCCAAAGGCAAGGGAAATAAAGGCAAAAATAAATGAATGGGACTACATCAAACTACAGTCTTCTGCACAGCAAAAGAAACCATCAACAGAGCAAACAGGCAACCAACCAAATAGGAGAAGGTATTTGCAAACAAGACCTCCAGTAAGGAGCTAATATCCAAAACATAGAAAGAACTCATAAAATTCAACAACAAAACAGCAAAGAATCCGATCACAAAATAGGCAAAAGAACTGAATGGACACTTTCCCAAGGCAGACATGCAGATGGCCAGCAGATGTATGAGGAGATGCTCAACTTTACTACCTAAAAGGGAAAAGCGAATCCAAGCCCCAGGGAGGTACCGCCTCCCACCTGCCAGAACGGCTGCTGTCAATGAGACGAGGAACAGGACGTGAGGGAGGGGGCGTGGAGAAGAGGGAGCCCTTGCCCGCTGCTGGTGGGGGCCTGAGCTGGGGCGGCCCCTGAATTGGCGCAGCCCCTGCAGAGAGCAGTGTGAGGGCCCCTCGAAAATTAAGAATAGAACTACCATGTGATGCAGCAATCTCCTTTGAATATCTACACCAAAAATTTGAACACACATATAAAAACGTGTGTACCTGTACGTCCATTGCAGCATTATTCACAACAGCCAAGACATGGAAATGACCTACGTTTGCTCTGAGGGATAGCTGGACAAAGACGAGGTGGCACATACATAAAATGGGATACGCTCGACCATAGGAAAAGATGAAATATTGCTGTTTGCAAGAACACAGGGGGATCTTGGGAGTACAATGCTAGGTAAAGTACGTCAGGTGGAGAAGGACGAGAACCGTGACGTGTCACTCACATGCGGGGCATGAACGAACGAACAAACCAAACAAACTCACAGACACACACATCAGTACGGCAGTGACCAGATGGGAAGGGGGTTCTGGGGAGGATCAGGTACATGGTGACAGAAGGGGGTAGGCTTTGGGTGGTGAGCACCCAATGGAGTATACAGATGTTGTAGAAAGTTGTGCACCTGAAGTTCATATAGTGTTATTCACCAATGTCATCCCAATATATGTAATTAAAACATAAAGTGGCACTGGGAAAAGGGGAAATTGTATGGTCGCATCAGCACGGCAGAGACACGCTGATGTATTGGGGGGTGCTACAGCTACAGAGTACTTTAAAATGCTTCAGAGAGAAACAGCTGTATAGGAAAATAAAAGTATGTAATGTGGTCCCAGTTTCTATTCCCTTCTTCACCTCTCACTGTCCACAAGGAAATGTTGCCGTTTCCTTAGTTTCTGTGACAGAACCCCATTGCTTCCCCCTGTCGTCGCATGAAGGACACTCCTCCAGCCACAGCAGCCTGAACCCACAGCAGCCTGACTCACCTTCCCCAGGGCGGTCAGCAGGGGGAAGTCGATGGTCCGCCGGTGCCGCAGGATCCGCAGGATGCCGTCCAAGTACACCTGGTCTTTACTGAAACACCCTGGAGGGACCGCAACAGTGTTTACTCTCCGAGGTTCGGAAGACTCACCTGGAATTAGACACTAACCCAGCCCCTTTACTATAGGAATCAGTCCTGTGATGAAAAAGCAATGCTCCAATTTGCCGTGTTTAATTTTTATTTAATTACTATATCTTCATAACATAAAATGGAAGGTCTTTGGAAGTACCAGGATAATATGCAGGCCAGTAGCCTCCCTTTAAGAATCCCTGCTCTGGCCAGCATGGCTCAGTCAGTGGGTGTCACCCTGCCAACTGAAAGGTCGCCAGTTCGGTTCCCGATCAGGGCACGGGCCTGGCTCGCAGGCTCCCTGCTCTGCTCCCTGTCGGGGTGCTGGCAGAAGGTAACCAGTCGCTGTTTCACTCCCTCTCTTTCTCCCTCCCTCCCCCTCTTTCTAAATTTTTAAAATATTTCTTAAAGAAGAATTCCTTTTTCCCATATCCCCACTCACAGTAATTAAAAGAGCATCTTTTCCTGCTCCTAAAGAAACACTGGTAATTTAAACTGTGTGAGTGCTTATGAAGGCCACAGGCACCGTGACTGCTCCCTGCCTCGTTTCTCTTTACAAAATAAAAATGACAAGGTGCCAGAGGGGCCCAGTGGAATTAATGGATTCGGGCTAGGGTCGCCGACGGACACAAACACCATTACGTAAAACTGTTAGATAACGGTATTTTCACAGCAACTGTCGCCTCAGAGATCATTTAACAGTTAAAAGGGGGGAGGGAATACACTTTCACAGAGAACAGAGCGCACAGCCCCCACCTCAAGGAGAAGCAGAGTGAGCATCTCTCACCGTGGAGGAACCTGCCCTGGGGCGGCTCCTGCTGGGGTCCAACACCACGCGTGTAATTTTCTCTTACAAACGTCCACCCTGAGTCTGACGGTGAGGAAACCGTCAAAGGCACCCAGATGGCGGGCTCCCTTTAACAACAGAGGCCTGGACCTTTTCAAAACAAGTCGCTGCCATGAAAACCAAAGAGGTGGGAAGATGCCCCATATTAACAGGGACTAAGGAGACACAACCAAGGAAAGTAACTCGTGCTCCGTGGCTGGGCGTAGATTTCCTCTGGACAGACACAGAGGACGTTCTGTGGCAGCTGGGGAGGCCTAACTGTTGCAGGTGTATTGACCGACATTGCCAAATTAATGCTCACTTTCTTAAGTGTGATAATGAGATCGTGTTGGGGAGAATTTTTTTCCGCGAGAGATGTATGCTCAAGATTTTAGGAATCAAATGTCAAGTGTACACTTTACTTATAAAAAGTCACAGAGCATTACAACAAGAAAGTAAACATACAACACACGGAAATGGGAGAAAATATTTGTAAACCATGTACCTCACAAGAGACCCATATCTAGAATATACAAAGAACTCTAAAACCCACCTTAAATTCACAAAAAGAAAGCGAATTTAAAAATGAGCAAAAGACCTGAACAGTTGTGCGAAGATGATACACAAACAGCCAATAAGCGCATTAAAAGATGCTCGACTGAAGCCCACAGGGAACAGGAGCTGAGGGGCTGTGGAGGCACTGGCGCCTCACACGCTGCTGGGGACGGGAAGTGGGCGGCCGGCTCCAGAGGCTAAACACGAGCTACCGTTTGACCCAGCAGTTCCACTCCCAGGCATTTACCCGAGGGAATGAAAAACATAAACTTGTACACAAATGTTCACAGCAGCATTATTCATAATAGTCAAAGTATAGAAACAACCCAAATTGCTGTACATGTGTAAATGGACTAATAACATTGTTAGATCCACGCAACTGAACACTATTCAGGAATTAGTACTGAAACACTAATACCTGCTACAATGTGGGAGGAACTTTGAAATGTGCTAAGCGAAAGAAGCCAGTCACAGAGAATGACATATTATCTGGTTCCGTTTAGGTGAAATGTCCAAAATGGTCAAACCTATGAAAGTATATTAACAGTTACTCCGAGCTGGGGAGAGGGAATGGAGAATGACTATTATGGGGCGCAGATTTCTCTCTGGGGTGATGAAAACGTTCTGGAATTAGAACTTAGCGATGGCTGCCCGACTCTCTGGATCCTCTAAACACCCCGAGCCGCGCATTCCAGTGGGCGAACTGTATGTCACGTGAGTGGTATCTCAGTAAAGCTGTCTTTCAGGCGAGAGAAAGAAACGATACATGGCAACATGTTAGCAACTGGTGAATCGAGAAAAAGGGTAGGGGAGTGTTCACTCAATCTTTATTTCTGTATTTGTCAGTTTGCAATTTTCCCAAATGAGATGGGAAAAATAATGCTAACGAAATGTGGTTGGGAAAACCAGCACTGACCTTGAGTAACGGACGTGTAATTTTTCATAGGTAAATGCTCGGAGAATCAGAATGTAACCAAAATCAACACACAACCACCCAAAGTCAGAAGACCTCACTCGGGGGACACCCACCTGGTTGGGAAGTGTCGGTCCAGCCCCTCTTGGCGCGAACACAGTAATCCCACCTGGTGTTGGGGTCCTTGACGAACCTCCCGATGTCCTCGAAGAGCTGGCAGAACGACATCCGGCCGGCCTGGTGCACGGTGTAATAGAGGAGGGCCGCTCTCCACAGGAAGGGGTCCTTTCTGAACAGGACGCTGTGGATGCTCGCCAGGCCCTCCTCTGTGGGGTTGTTCGGCTTCAGCTCGTGCTTTCTGCGGCCGGTCCAACTGTTCCACGGCTGCTGCAGGTTGTTAATCCCTCGAAAGTAATGTGTGCCTATCGAGGGAAGAAGCGCGTGAAAACGAGAAAGGCCACTCTCGTTTCCTTTCCCCAAAAAGATCTCACCCAGAGTTCGAAAACCAAGGCTTTTGGTTTGACGCTCTGTCTTCTGAAGGCTTACGTGTCTCAACAGAAGTATGACTTCTACAGCAGCTTTTTTTTTAATGAAAGAATCATAGACTTGACATTGGAAAAGAATCTCAGAGATCATGTAGTTCAATTCCTTCAATTTAAGGTCAAGGGCCTGAAATCCCCAGGGTTAAATGAGTGTTTAAGGTTAATACAACTACCTAGTACCCTAAAAATTTAACTTGAAATGAGACATCGCTCACTGTAGCTCTAGTTCAAGTGAAACCTAACAACTTGATTGCTTTTTGCCAAACACTATTACGAAGAACCCATTATAAAAGAACATTCCTGTGAAGCTGATTGCAGCTGACCGGCCAATGAACAGCGGAGAAGGGCCGCCCTACCGATTTCATGCCTCAGCATTCCCTCCAGCCAGTGCTCGCGGGCCGTGGACACGTTGATGGTCAGTGTCGGACACCCGTTGACCACTGTCATCGAGGCTCGGGACAGCAGGTCCTCAGTGAGGTGGACTACGATCTAAGGGGAACAGGAAATACGCATATGCATATGCGCACACACACACATATACACACAAACACATATGTGCATATAAACATGCACAAAAAATGTAAAGGTAAAAGACATCGATGGCCCCATAAATGGACACTTTCTTCTGTTTACCCTGAATCTCCCAGAAACCAAGATGAAGAACCACAGGGCCGATCGCCTTGACCCTCTGATTCTGAGCTGGTGGGAAGACCTGGGCCTCGATGGGATGAAAGCAAAGCAGGCAGCTCTGCTGAGAAGGCACAGAGTGCTGACCAGCCTCCGCCGTGCCCTGGCCCCGGCCACAATGGTGCACAGGAAGGTGCCCAGCAGTGAGCTGGCCTCTGCTTTATCCCAAGACTGATCCCACGACCCGGCTAAGAAGAAGGGCCGCAGGAGCAATCACCAACTTACAACTTCCCACGAGCTATTCAGAAATGGCAGTAAAAAGGAACTAAACCCAACTCAATGCAACGGACAATGAGATGCAGAGTACTCGGTCAGGAATCTGGGTGACCCGTTTAAGGCGCTAACCAGGGTCGGAGAAACAAACCCACACGGCATGTGGCGCTGCAGAGGGTCCGCGCACCCCAGCCCAGCCCTGCGCGCCCTCCTGGGCCGTACCTCGCCCATGCAGCCTTCTTTCACCATGTACTTCCTGACGTGGCTCCAGATCCGCGGTTTGGACAGCAGGCTGCCACCCGTGGCCTGTTCGAATTTTTCGTAACTCCCGTATTTCTGCAAAGTCAGTTCCATAATATTGATGGACTGTAAAAGAGATAACAAAAGCCAAGTCTCCTATTACTCTGACATCAGCAATAAGCCTGTTATACTCTTATTGGTCATGACCTGTCTCTGTGTTTACTGATTTCCAAATGAAAATGCAGCAGACGCCCCACCACTGTGTGGTCTCCTGCCACAGCACTGACGGCACAGGACCGTGGCCAGATGTCCACCCAAGACCCCTGGAAACAGAGTCCACGCTACCTCTGTGCACATGTGTCCATGGCAGCTGCGTTCATAAAGGCCGAAGAGAAGAAACCACCCAAATGCCTGTCAACTGGTCAACGGACAAAGTGCAACATACACACACATGGGATGTTACTCAACAATCAAAAGCACTGATACACGCTACGGCATAAACGAATCTTGGAGACACTGTGCTAAGTAAAAGCAGCTTGTTACCAAGGACCACATGTTGTGTGACTCCATGTATCTGAAGTTTCCAGAAGAGACAAATCCACGGAAGAGACCGCAGATTGGGAGAGGCCCAGGGCTGGGAGGATGGGAGGAAGGGTGAGTCTTGCCAGTGGGTGTAGGGTTTCTTTCTGGGGTGACGAAACATCCCTGCATTCAACAGTGGTGCCGTTTGTATAATTCTGGACACACTGAATGCATGTTTTTGGTTGGGTGAACTGCAGGGCATGTACATTCTGACTTCACGAAGCTCTCACTTAAATCGGAGTAGTGGTCAAACAGCACTACACGACACTTATGCCGCTGACCCAGACAGTGAGGAATCTCTATGTACAGTGCTCAGCACTGTCCTGGGTGAAACCAACTTCTGGAAAAACCTCAGCATTCTGTTGCAAGATCTGCTTTCGGTCTACTTGCTGGTTCAGTTCACTGTTCAGCATTTGGAAATCTGACCGTCCCTCACGAGCCACCTCCAGAGTCATGTGCTAAAAAACAATCTCCCTTCTCAACTGTGGGCTCCACCCCGTGGAAGACAGCATGCAATGGGGACACCGGCAGGGCAGGAGGTGGGTGAAGTGGGGGCGAGACCCAAAGTCAGAAGATCCGGGTTCACATCACTGCCCTGCCTCGTACTGACTGCGAGATCTTAGGCATGTCATTTGCCTTTCTCGGGTTTAGTTTCTTCATTGGCAAAGTGGAGATGGAAATCTTTGCCCTACTTACCTCGCAGGGTTGCTGTGAGGACAAAATTACATATAATGACAGAGAAAGAGAGAGAGGGGGAGGGGGCAGAGATAGTGAATGCACTTTGTAATTATTCCCCATATAACTGTGTACAGTATTTAAGTTTTAAAGGATTAAATGCTGGGTTCTAATTTCAGAATTGAAGATAGTTGGTCTGACCTCCACCGAATCCCAACCCTCCCTTCGTCCCTCCCCTTTGTAGCAGACTCTGCCATCTAGAACTGCCCCACCCCCCAAATATGGCATGAACCCCGGAGATCACGCCACCCTGTTGCTGGTGGGAAGGTGGCTGGCGAGACAGCACTGTTAAAAGGTTCCATGGCCATTGGGAAAACACTGGGTTAGACCAAGTGAAACAAGACTCTCCCAAGCCTTCGTCATATTATGCTTGGAGGACCTTGGAGATGAATAGTTTGTGTTTTCCAACTCATATGGCCCTCTTTCTTACGTAGTATTCCTCCGAACAGTTGGAAAATGCTTGATTCAGTAAGTATGAAGTGCACACATGCAGACATACATCTTTTTGGTACTTTGAGATTCTTAGCATGAAAAGCAAATACTGAGGAAGTTTTTCCGCAGTGGCTACTGCATCCTGGCCACACACGAGGATGAAGGCATTTTGGGTTACTCAGCTGGACCACAGGACCTCCCTCACACCAATAGGGTACTGGTGTCCTGGCCGCCTGCTCAGGCTCCCCAGCTGCAAGTGGCAACCACGGTGTAAATTTAGCTGCTGAGCACGAGACACCTCGGAAAGACAATACAAGGGAGTCTTTATATTCCAATATTTAAAAAAAAAAACACTGTGCTGACCCCCAAAAACATATATGCAGGCTGAACATGACCCTTGGGCCACAAGCCAGAATCTGTTGTATATCGAGTGCTAGGCTAAATTTCTAGAGTCCCACCAATGAGGACCCTTCATTCATTCATCCCTCCACCTCCATGGACGCCTTCCACTCATGGCCACTTCTGCTCACTTTCACGTTGTAGAATCTAAATCCCCGTCCAGCCATCAGACTGGCAGAGAGGGCGTACGAATCAACAGTGTTTATTAGCAGTGCTTTACGGAGGTGGAGTCAGGTGTTGAGCTCACAGAGAAGGTAAATACAAGCGGGGACTCGAGGAAACAGAGGGCATTCCAGGCAGAAAGGAGCGGTACTGTCCAAAGCTTACACTGAACACAAACCAAAGAAAGTGTAATACCGGGTTCCGGGGCCAGACAGGCACGGGGACTCACTCATTTACTGTCAGGGACTGGGCCAGATTCAGGGACTAGCTGCAATAAACTACACACACGTTGTCAACGAGGTCGGTCCAGCGGTGGCGATAAAGAAATAAGGATGGTCACGGCATCATACATGCTGTGCCAGGTCACCTGCACAAGACGCTGTGCGAGTACAGAGCTGATTTGGAAATACGAGCGAGTGCCAGAGCACAGAAGAGCAAAGGCCCGCAGGCCACGATGCTAAGTGTGTTGCGCTGTACTCCATTGCCAGGAGCCCTGCAGTCTCAGGAAGGGAAGGGATGCGACCAGATTTGCACCTGAGAGAGACACCCCCAGCAGTGTGGGGCGCAGGGGAGACTGCAGCAAGAGTACTTCTGCCAATAATTCAGTTTTCTATAAAACAGACTGCATACTATGACCAGATCATAACTAAAGAACAAAAATATTTCAGAAAATTGTATTCTACATAAGCAGAACCCAGGAAACGAACAGATCCAAGACACCAAGTTGGCCTTCGGTGAAGGAACGAGAGAAACAACTCGGGGCACAGGGAGAGGTCACCTGCAGCCCCACCCCCTTCTCAGTGTCTGTGCCCTCAGGCCGAGGGCAGACTGACGAAGGTGACAGGGACATGGCCACCAGGATAGGACATTTATAAACAGCTTACACTGCACAGTCCTCCTTTCCCAGCTACAAGAACTAAAGCCGATATTCAAGCTGCTTTATAAGAAATGCCCTGTTCAGATAGGAACCTGAGAACGCACTTAGGCAAGTTTTCAAAGGCAGGTCCACAAAGTGTCCTTTCAGTGAGTCATCAAGGTCGCACCTCCCTCCCAGGACAGCAGACAATCTGATGGAGTGTCTCCATTCTGACTGTAAGAAAATCCTCCTTGCTACTCAGGTGAAGAAATCACCCCAGTTCTCCAATCTAACACACAGAATTACTTCGGAATGTACTAAACTCAAAACAATCTTTTGAAAAATCTTTATCTTTAGGATATCTGTGAAAGGTTTGATTTTGCTAAGCAGAAAACTGTCACCTAGGGAGAGACAGAATTTAAAGAAGGCTGGCTTTGTCCTGCTCTCTTTTTTAAAGGTGTTATTTATTTATTTTTAGAGGGAGGGTGAGGGAGGGAGGAAGACAGGGAGAGAAACATCGATTGGTTGCCTCTCACATGTGCCCCAACTGGAAACCTGGCCCACAACCCAGGCATGTGCCCTGACGGGGAATCAAACCAGTGACCTTTCGGTTTCCAGGCTGCACTCAGTCCACTGAGGGGTACCAGCCACAGTTGTCTTGCTCAGTATTGTCTGGACAACTTGAAGTCTATCGAGATAAAATACCATCAATGCTAGCACAACTGAAAATTAGCCTTAAATTTTACATCAAGATATCCTGCTATCAGTGACGGCATTGGATTTCCAATTAGGCTGTTTCTATCAAAAATGAAAAATGAACATGTCTTGCTTTAGAATACAACACAATTTCATGTATTTATTATGCATGTTTTAATACAAGTCACCTATTTCACTTATGCTATAAACTCTAAAAGCAGGACACTGTTTTCCGAGGACCGTATTTCAAAATCATTGTTATGCTAACCATTGGTCCCAATAAAGCAGAATTTACGTTGAACACATCTAGTGAATCCGAGGTGGCAAACTGGCGACCCAAGGCAGGAAGGTGGCCCACTGAGGGGTTTGCTTCGCTCCGGACAGCCTGTTTGTTTGGCTGAATTAGCCATCCACATTTACAAACTGGAAGACTTCCTGGAAGATTCAGGTGCTCACTTTTCTCCCTCACATCATGCAGCTAGACCCGAGTGCTTGCTGATTAACTGCTGTCTGGTTTCCAGTTTGTGACTGTGCCCAGCCAGCTCTCTGTGATCACTGATGACCCCTGCTCAGGTCCTTACAGGCGTCTGAGTCTGTGACCCTTCAGGTACCCTAACCGTACACCTGCTGACTAGGTAAACAAAAACCAGAATGTATTTCCTAACATAATGAAGTCGGTCCACCTAGACACATATCTTGAATACCTGAACTCTGCAAACAAAAGGGCAATGCCACGCCATACAGTGCGGTTCTTACGCTGTTTCAGTGCAGGAAGGGGCCGCTGCCAAAGTCAGGGTCCTGTCCTTCCCTCGGTTTTAAAGAAAGGTCTCTGTGAGTTCACAGTAACTCTACCAAGTTACCCTTACTGGTGTGGAACTGCTAACCTCCATTAGCTTTAAGCAATAAAGAAAAGTTCAGGACACTATCGTTACAGGAGCAGAGCCGTTTTACTTCAGTTCGGTGCTGTAGAATCTATTAATATTGAGTACTCGCCTAACTCTGAACTGACCTGGATGGGGTGGAAATGGCCTTGTGGAGCCATCACACACCCTGAAAACACAGCTGTTTCCTGCAGCCTCCTCCTCGGCTCGCGGCGTCACTCCGCTGTTCTGCCCGTGGGCCTATCTTTAGAAGACATCGAGAATGTGTCGCTCTTAAAGTTTTATTATTGAGAGTATGTTTGGATCCCATACAATTATGGCATTTTTGTATTTTATAAAAATACTTCATTGTGGCCCTGGCTGGTGTAGCTCAGTGGATTGAGCTTGGGCCTGTGAACCAAAAGATTGCAGTTCAACTCCCCGTCAGGGCACATGCCTGGGCTGCAGGCCGGTTCCCAGCAGGGGATGCACCAGAAGCAACCACACATTGATATTTCTCTCCTTCCCTTCTAAAGGTAAATAAATAAAAATTAAAAAAATACTTCATTGCGTTTGAGGTATGACATTTTTGCAGCCATACCCATCTCTCCCCACGCCTGCACGTCTGCGACCCCTGACTTCCTCCACACTGACCGCCTCAGTGCCAACCCCTCATCTTTCCTGACTGCACCCCCCCACCCCCCGCAGTGATGCCCGGAACCAAACCACAGGTTCAGAAAGCTGCCTTCTTTATGAATCAGTTCAGTGGTTTATTTTCACACAGGTGTTCGATATTAAACAGCACCTCCCCCGCAATCTCCTTTCCATGTCACCGTGGTGGGGTTTCTCTGCCGCTGCGTCTGCCTCCATCACTGCCTTTCCTGCTCACTGCTGACCCCGGCCACTTCCTTCTGGCTGGCGGGGGCCCTCGCGACAGTCCTTCCAGGAGGGAGCAGGGAATAATCCGAGGTACTCCCGGCAGGCGTTTCCTTACACTACTGTGGGCCATTGAAAACTAAGTGTATTGGCAAATGATGCTTATTTTGGAAGCTACAGTCTTAGGAATAGGATGACACTGGATATACTACACTTCACTGTAGAAGGAATTTTTGAAAGCGATTTTCAATTATCTTGTTTCATCTGAAGATACCTAAGTAATTTTGTCTCACCCACTTGCAAATTCTGGATTGCGTACATGGCCGTGAGGCACAGTGGAAACAGGTGACAAGCGGTGCTGGGGGCAGGGATGACAGGGAGAAGTCTACATCATGGAAGTGGTAACGAAAGGATGTTTCTGTTTTGTTCCGGCAGAGTCCAGGGGACTGAGGAGAGAGATCGCCCCCTGGATACTATGCAAAACCTTTGTGGGGAGCCCCATGCCTGACTTTCTCAAACACTCACTCGGTGTGCAGACAAGGAGCCCAGCTCTGACCTTGCCACTCTTCCCACAGCACTAGTTCACACGGAGCCCTGAGCTGCGACCGCAGCTGTAGCTGAGGGATGAGGGTGGGCACCGAACCAGGGAGGACATGCTTGTCTTCAAGCTTCCACTGGGAAGCTTCTTCTGGTCTTCCCAAAAGAAGACCCTTCCCAGCTCTCACTTTCATCTTGTTCGCACTCTGCTTTGTATAAGCCGGGTCCAAGGCCACACGGATTTCGTACTGGGGTTGCCTGGGATGGTCGGCCACCAGGAAGTACGGCAGAAAGTATGCTGGTGGCCACTTTACTGCTCAGGAGCCCCACCCAAGGGTCTGCTGCTGACCCCCTGGCCCTGGACGGCGCGCAGCGAGTGCTCGCTCACCCCACACCCTGTTCCTGCAGTCCCCAGGACCTCTGCACTCTTTCCTCAGAGGCCCACAGCTGCAGAAAAGGGACAGTTTTAGTTTCTCCCACGTGGAAACATACCTGAGGACCCCCAGAGATGCCAGCAAGGGCCGAGCGGGGTTCAGCAGAGCCCCCTGGAGTTATGTCCAGCCTTGCCGCCCGTGCTGGATGCCACGTGCTCCCTCCAGGGCCCGGGGGCCTCCCGAGGGACGAATACCTGGACCAGAAAAACTGAGTCCTGAAACTGCTTGACACTGACGGGACCCCAACTGGGACGACTGCGTCCGACACTGCCTGTGTTTCACTGTGGTAGGCTCGCCTGCCCCTGGGAAGTGCAGCACTGTGCTGCCCACCTGTGCCCCGAGGAGGACCACGGTCACTCTCCAACAACAGGACAGACTGCCTGCCTTAGCAGGGCCCAGACCCTGAAACCCAGGAGACTGCTGGCCGGGGGTGGACGGCAAGGCCTCGAGAGTGCAGCTGCTGGGCCCCCAGCTCCCCCACACAGCACATGTCTGAATCCTGATGCTGGTCTGCAGCTGCTGCCGTAGCCTCATGGCTGGGGTGGGGGGATGCATGACATCATGTCGCAATTCCCTGAGATGCCGGGCGGGAACTTACGTATCTTAGGGCATCCTTGCTCTGATCCATCTCCTTTATCTGGTGACCGTGGTTTGCGCTGGACACTTGGCATTCGTCGAGAGCATGCTCCTAAATGGCGGCACTGGAAGTACCAGCCTGCCAGGACTGCTGGTGCTACTTAGAAGTCTCAAGCAACCCGAGTGTAGGCTCTATCTCCCAGGCTGGAATTGGGTTGAAATACAGACTGCAGAGCCACAGGGCGGGGAGTGCCAATTCTCAGTCAGTGGGGATGCCCATGCCTCCTAATTGCCCCCCAGAGAAAGGAGAGAGCGCGCGCTGGATCTAACGGTGGGAAACCTCTCCCAGCAGGCAGGGCAGGGGTTGGGGTAGGATTCCTGACTGCAGAGGACTGGTGAGTAAATCTCAGCCACTTCTTTCAGCACAAAGGAGGGAAACAAGCAGTGTTTTAATAATTATCATACATTTCAAGTAAGTCCTTGTTCAATCAATTGTAATTACCACCAAAAAGAATCACAAAATAATTGCCAGATCGGAATAAAAAACAATAGCTGACTTTTTAAATTAATGTTTAGCACTGTCTCAGCACATTTAAATAAAAAGTGATTGCCCACTAAAAAAAAGATGCAGTAGGTTTCTTCTAGCAAAGGGAAACTAATGACAGCATTAAAATTACATTAATATTAAAATAAGCTTTAACTATGGTTTAAAAAGACTGGTCACAAAAAAAAAAAGACTGGTCACTTTCCATGTCATTTATAATAAGACCAAATCTGCTGGCCACAAACCCAAAGAACTTACTGTAGCAAAACCACTGAAACAGGGCTCGCTGCACGGCACACAGAGCCACGCAGAGTCGCCCCGACTCCCCACGGACCTCGGTCCTGACAGAGCCACAGTGGACTGTATCACAAAGCCTGCACAGAGCTGATGTAACTGAATGCAGCCTGCCTTTGCAATCTCCACACTGTGCCCTGCAGGTAAACACCGGCCGATTTCTCCTCAAAACAGCAAGCAGATTTTGACGTTTCTCGATCAAAACTATGCGCCATGTGTCTATAGTGAGCAATCTGGACAGTGTATCTCATATCACTCACATATGATTCGTTAAACTTAAAGATAACTTCTAACTTTTCATTATTTTCTTCTTTAAATGAGTGCCTGAATATTTGCTTGATGATTAACTATGTTAAGAAAGCACTAAAAGTTCATGGGCTGTTGGGGACCGCTCTGCCTGGTTTCAGGAATTGTAACTACCCGCCGTGGCTAAGGATAAGTGAGCGACCTCCAGAATGAGAACCACAGGAGACAAAGCTTGTCTCCGATAGCGAATGCTGCCTCAGTTTCCTCTCCCTGCCCCCAAAGCACGGTCGGAAGTCAGAGACAGGTAAGACTCCTCACAGCGAGGGGCAACCTAAGCCAGACTCGATCACTTGGGAGACCATCATGGAAGCACTCGGGGGGCTGCAACAAAGAGGGAACAATGACCCTTGCCCCCCAGCTATGTGACATAGCTCGAGTCCCCATGTCCTCTGGGAGAAGTGCTTCCTGGCTCTAATCCACTTAAGCCTGAAAACCTGATGTGGAGGGGTGCAGCTCCTTGCCTTGCTAGAGCGGTATCCGGGGAGAAATCTGGCATCAGAAAGAATTCCTAAAAATCCTGTGAAACCTGCTTTGCTAAGAGTGCTTTCATTCATGATAAGTGTCTAAGCAGGAAATGAGTATGTCTCCCAAAGGTTCTGCAACCCCCTTCCTGACAGACTCTGACTCAGACTAAGCCCTCAGATTTCTTTGAAATGTTATCTATTGTTTGGTCCTTGCTGCCCTGTATTCCTGTGTATTACAACCCAATGAAAGACCCTGGAGGAAGGGGTTCCTGGCCTTTCTGAGGAATTGGCCACTTCTCCTCCCCAAGCAGATCATGTCTTGGTAATGTTACTTTCATCCGTGGTGGACGGGGGAACATGAGGGCAAAGTCGCCCCCCATGATGGGCAAGTATCAAGTCTTAGTCCCCAAAATGCCCACGGGGGGCCGAAGCGAGCTGGGGACGCAACACCAGGAGACGCGCCACCGGAGGCGCTCAGAGCCACGTGGAGCGGCCACACGTCTGGACTCCCGAGTGCAAGCCTGGAGCCAGGCCCTGAAGCATTTTTCCTGACAAACTGTCTTCCTGCCACAAAGTCTCGAAAGCAGATTCTTTATAGAGTTTGATTAATGCAAAGCAGTTTACCAAAGGCTATGCCACTTACCTAGAAATTTCTTATCACATGTAGACATGTCCTGGGTGGAAGTTAACTATAACATGTAAACAATTAGAGTATTTTTAAATACCTTAAAATATTTTTTCTTTTGATATGATTGCAAATAATGGCTTTAGCTACAGAAACACATGATACCACTGCAGAAGCAGCATTTTACCTGCTTAAGAAACCGGTCAGATACGTTGCTGTGCTTGGCTAACACGCTGGGCAGAGAAGGGTTAGCATATTCGAACTGGGGATTGTAGGTGTAGTCAGACTTGAAGAATCTCAGCTTTTCCTTCTCCAAATTGGTGGGCTTTATAGCAGTCAGTATACAAAATTTCTTTCCAGAAAAGTCATCTCCTTTTTCAAAACTTCTAGACAGCTGAGGCTGCAGCTGTGGCTTTGGCTTTGAAAGAGTAGAGAAATGGTGTCGCTTGACCTTGGATTTCGGTGGCAGTACTATGCTGTTCCCTGTAACAGAAATAGCATGTGTGAACTTCGTAGGACTTGACACTGGACTAGTGGCAAAAACCGCAGGCTGCCTCTCTAGGCAGTACCAGGTGCCACCGCTCATCCCAGGCGCTGGGGTTTTCATCTTGCGAAGATCGTTACTACGAGAAGAGCTGGGAGACTTGCTGGGCTTTCTACATCGTTTGGAGCAGGTCGATGAAGATTGCTTTTGTGAGTGATGCTTCTTCTCCTCTTTGCTCTGTAGGAGGACATTGTAACTACTGGTTCCAGTGGTGAAAATGTCCTTTAGTATCCCGGGAGGCAAACGTAGGCCGCTTTTTTTGCTGTCAGTGATCAATGGCTCTTCCGCATGTAGAACGGACTTCTTAGCCAGTTCTTGCTCAGGCCAGTGAAGCTTTTCTGTGTTAGTAAACAAAATCAAAACAAAATAACAAGGATACCAGATGAAGTGAATTGCTTATTATAACTATTCCTGGAGGTTGTGTGAACTTGACAATTTTGCAACGATCTTTAGAAAAGACATTTTAAGTATTAAAAGGATATATTATGAAACTTCAGGCATGCTAAACATGGTCACTTCCATTTGGGTGTTTATATGCTAAATTACCTACAAGAGTTCACAGTTTCAAGCCATTTAGATGACCAAAATTTAATATAGATGTGAGATAATACACATAAATAATCTAAATACTCAATTTTACCAAAGAATGTGGATTTCATAAAAGGATACAGTTTCCAACATCAAAGTAAACGTTATTACCAACAACAAAGTAAATTCCAAGGCACTTTCAAAGCCAATACAGCCTTGAAATCTGATAGTTTATATAAAGTGACCATCAGTAAACAAAGGATAACACTGCCTTATTGATCTGAAAAGCCACTTTTAATATTAAATAAATGATATGTGTGTTCAAGAATAATTTAGCAATATCACTCAATATTAATTGGTTAATCTTCTTAACTCTAGGCTATAGGTTAAGGTTAAAGAAAGTCAAGGTATTTTTCTTGCCATGTCTGAAAAAAATTATAATTACTATTACATAGCTACCAGTATATCAAATAACAAATTAAGGAGAAGTCAACTTCATCTTTAGATCTCACATGTGGTTTAAAGAAATAAGGATCACTTGATATGTTGCTCCTCTTGTGTTGCTGTGAGACCCGATTTGCATTCTTTCATTCCACAAACACAGCACATCTGCAGACACAGAATACTACTAACTAGGCAGAAGCCTCTGAGAAACATCTGTACCAATACATTGTTCCTGCCTCCAGCCAACTTCTAATCTGGCTCTGAAGGCAAGGCAGTTCTATGAAGCTCTAAATACTGCTACAAGGTACAGCAGTAAGAAATTTAAATGTGAAAGACAGAAGATATAACTGAGACTTCGGAGAAGGATGAGAGCAATGTGAAGAGGAACAGGTGAGAAGATTTCGGGTAGACCCCTAAGAGCTTTCAGATTTAATTCCAAACTCGCCAAGTGTCTGAGTTTGCCTTAAATCCTGCTCATCTGAGCTTGACTCCAGCTAGGTCCTATCTAGAACTCTGACCAAATAGGCTCATAAATCTATTCTGAATCCTTTCTGCAAAAGCAACAAATCATGATTCTCAAGCAGTTCTCTTTTCCAATTCTTATGGACTGTTATGCCTCAGGCCCTCAATCCTTGACTCCTACTACTGAGGCAAGTTCAATGCTAGCTGAGTTGGATGAGTGCCTGCCTTGCCAAGAAAGAGACAATTTATTTTAATTTAATTTTTTGAAAGTTATTTATCCACATACATCTGTCATTCAAGATTACAAGTTCAGGGATCCTTCCTACAATAAGGAGTAATAAATAATACCAACAACGAGAGCAGCCACCATTTGTTGACACACTTATGAGTTTGGGATTTCACCCAAAACCGTTTGTGTTATACCACTTATACCTCAGAGATGCTAAGTAACTGGCTCCAGGATATACGGCAAGCAAGTGCTAAAGAGCAAACTATGGTTTGAATGCAGGTGTGTCTGGTTACCAAGTCCACGCTCATTCTCTTATATGTGGTCACTCAGTCAGTTGCCAACAGACATTCAGTGCTAAACTGGCTACGCTCACGGTGCCCAGAACAGGCAACCCAGTAAGACATGGTGGTCTGCATAACTGATGTAGGAAGACAGGTACCAGGACCATGTATGATTCTCCTCTTTCTTGCCAACATTTGGCATCGTATCTGGTAGACATTCAGTGAATGTACACTGAGTGAACGGCACGACCCTATGCCACTCTCCAGACACTGTGGATGAACGGGGTTAGTAGTGCTGGGACCATTTTATATTTATATGAGATCACCACACAAGCAGAGCTGTAAAGGGGAAGACCCTCAATCCACAGTTCTCAACCAGAGGCAAACCTCCACTGCAGGGGACAACTGGCAGTGTCTGCAGACGTGCTGGTGTCACCACTAGGGAGCGCTCCTGCAGGCATCTTGTGGGGATGATGTTAGACACCCTTCGATAAACAGGACAGCTCCCACAACAAAAGCATCCATCTAAAGTAGTGCCAAGGGAGAGAGCCCTGTTCTAGATGTAGGTCTGCAAAGCCCAGAAGTCACAGGGCTTAGGCTAAAGAGACAGTACCAGATTGGAAATGACTAACAGTAATCTATGTATCTAAGGTACTGAAAAGTCCTTCTACATAACATTTCCTAGGCCAACACGTGAAACTTGAATTCTGGTGTCTAAAAGACGATGTAACTTGCAGGGTTAAATGAACTGGCTACTACCTATCCTCACTGAGAGGTGAGAAGTAGGAGTTAGACTGCACGGGGGTCAGGTTGAAGGCTGACTGCACAAAGAAGCCATTCAAGACGAGTTAAAGACCAGCCAAACACAAACAGAACAAACAAAACTTCCACTGCAGGTGGGCAGGTGGGTCCCAGTTCCTCGGGGTTTCAGAGGCAGTGTTGCCAACTGATAGGCCTGGGGCTGGACGGACACAGGCTGAGGAGCTCCAGAACTCAGGCTGCGGCCCAGGTGCCCACGTATGACGTCAGCGTCCAGAAAAGACCAGAGGTGGCAGTGAGAGGAAGGCCGAGATGCACGTGGAAAGGGAAAGAGCAGGAGAACTGAGATAAGAACAGGGTGTCCCAAACCCAGAGGAGCCGGGTGAGGGCTAGACACGGCCAGGGAGGTAAGAGGAGGTCACCAGGTTTTCTCACTGGGTCTTCACAAGGAAAAGCAGGGAAATGACCACAAATTAACATCAATGAATAAGAAAGACTACCCCGAGGAATGCCTAGTTTTCACGGTTTGTTACTGTTTGTGTTGTTTTTTTTAATGAACATTCAATGGAAAAATGCTTTCTTTGGTTCCTAACACTCAGTAGCTCTATGACCAAAGAGGTGACCTCACAGAGCTCTTCTGTCATCAAGCACCGGTGACCTCTAAACTCAACACTGCGTCCCACCAGGACAAGCTACACTTCAGGACACTTTCAGAAAGTCCGACACCATCTGCCAAAACCCTGGAGGAGGGGGTTGGGCAGGGAGAGAGGTGACAGCTTGCAACAGAGCCTGCCCCCCAGGGGGTGCCGCCTGCACTTCAGCTCACTTGCTCATCATCTACCTAGGGGCTCGGCCTCAGTCCCTCCACAGCTCCGTCCGCCTGCAGGGGGTCAAGTGTGGGAGGGCCTGGGGTGCTGCTTCCTCTAACAAATGCCACTGCTGCCAGAGGCTGCTGTCCCCTGAGGCCTGCAAACGCAGGGCTCCTTCAAATACGCACACGGGAAGGGTGTTAATTCATCCCCATAGTCGTCATGCTAACCTTATTTTCAGTTATATGAAAAGAATTAGAGACCCTGAAAGTTATTTTGTGATTTTTAAATATTACTGTTTAAGATTAAAATGGCTTTTAAACCTGTATAAAAACATAAGCAGGGGAATTCCGCCAAGATGGAGGCATAGGTGGAGATGCCGTGCTTTCTCACACAACCAAGTTTAGAGACAACTGAATATTAGCAACAGAAAACACAGCCAGAACACAGAAAATTGAACTTTTCGGAAGTCTGTTAACAACAAATTCTTCAGCCTGACCGGTAAGAGGGGCGAAACCAGCAGCTGGCAGAGCGGGGTAGCACAGGAAAACTCGGTCAGACAGACTCAGGCGCACGGATCGCAGGTGTGGGGTTGGACCTGGTGGGCAACTCAGCAAGCGACCTCAGGGAAACAGCAAGGGAGCAGGGCAGCGGGTTGACTGTGGTCGCGCATTCGTGTGTGTCGATAGACAAGCGAAGGAGTGGGCGATTGGACCTGGGTCCCTGCCAGCGGCAGCGGAGGGTGCAGCCATTTCCCTGCTCTGACCCCGCCTCCACATACAGCGTCATAACCCAGTGACCTGGGAATCCAAGGCTCCGCTCTTCATACTTAACAGGCCCGAACAGACCAAAAATGGCTCAAGAAGATCTCAAGGCCCCAGAGCCTATAAATCTAAGTGATGAAGAAATAGCAAAACTCTCAGACGCACAGTTTAAAACACTGGTGATCAGGATCCTCACAGAACTGGTTGATTATAGCCACAAATTAGAGAAACATATGAAGGCGAAACTAATTAAATGAATGGTATTGTACAGGAAACCGATAGCGATGAAAAGGAAACTGGGACTCAAAACAATGGAGTGGACCAGAAGAAAGCAAATAATGGCCAAACAGAAAAGAGTCAGGAAGCAAGAATTCAAAAAAAATGAGGAGAGTCTTAGGAACCTCCAGGACATCTTTAAACGCTCCAACATCCGAATTATAGGGGTACCAGAAGGGGGAAAGGCACAGCCACCAGTGGAAAACTTATTTGAACACATAATAAAGGAGAATTTCCCCAATCTGGCAAAGGAAATAGACTTCCAGGAAATCCAGGAAGCTCAGAGTCCCAAAGAAGTTGGACCCAAGAAGAAACACACCAAGGCACATCATCATTATATTAGCCAAAATTAAAATGAAGGAGAGAATCCTAGAAGCAGCAAGAGACAAGGGGACAGTCACCTACAAAGGAGTTCCAATCAGACTGTCAGTTGATTTCTCAAAAGAGACCTTACAGGCAAGAAGGGGCTGGAAAGAGGTATTCCAAGTCATGAAATCCAAAGACCTAAAACCAAGATGGCTCTAGCCAGCAAAGCTTTCATTTAGAATGGAAGGACAGATAAAGTGCTTCTCAGATAAGATCAAATTCAAGGAGTTCATCATCACCAAGCCCTTATTATATGAAATGTTAAAGGGACTTACCTAAGAAAAAGAAGTTAAAGAAACATGAACAGTGAAAGGACAACAAAGTCACAGTTATTAACAACCACACCTAAAACAAAAGCAAACTAAAAGGACAGCTAGATCAGGAGTGGAAACATAGAAATGAAGATCTCAAGGAGGGTTA